AGTGAATATGACGAGTCGGTACGCTCGAGAACTCTTTGAATTGGTCTCAATAGCCGTTTAGTCCGATATTTCAAATTAAACGTCGTGATTAATCTGAACTAGTCGAGGGAGGGGTGAAGGGTCATATGACCTAGTCAGTCGGAAAGTAAATGGTATTAAATTAAATGTGGTTTAGCGTCCTGTTTTTCTGTGCCAACTGGGATAATGAAGACGGACATTCGTCTCGAGTGAAATGGTTCCTGAACAGCTACGTGTTGGCATCCTCATCATAGAATTCCATTAGCCAAAGGATATTTTACACTAGATGCCTTTCAACATCACTGACAAGGGACGCTGGAAAATCCCACCTATCTCGGCCTATCTTGTATGCAGTTCTCTTTACTCATGTTTGAGGTGAGATTTTCCCAAGTGACTTTAATGTCAATTCTGGTCTCTTTGACAGGCTCCCGGTCTGTCCATTGTTTTGTTTTGTTGAACTCTTTTTGAAATAGGTGGAGCAGCATGTGGCAACGTCCTCCTCAAAAAAAGGAGAGGGAGAGAGAGAGATAGAGAGAGAGAGAGAGAGAGACAGAGAGAGCGCGAGGGGGGGGGGGGGTAACGTCCACACATCACAAATCATAAATATATTTCTCAATTTTATTTCAATTATTTGCAGAAAACCCATAAGGTTGGACAGGCGGCTCTACTCCTTGTCACGTATACGATGAGATTCAAAACCACACTTATTAACAGACCTTTTGATCTAAAGCGAACGCGTTACCCCCCCCCCCCACACACACACACACACACCCAAACACACATATAAATAGATGGGAATCGCCGTCTACATTAGCCCAGTTGCTGGGAATCAAAAGTGGTCTGTATCCGTATACCTCGTGGCCCGATGAAAGTTCATGAGTAATTCACTAAAAGAGTCTCTTAGGAGTATTGTGTTATTTCAGCGAGAATCTCGCGAGAGTACGGGTAGAAGTAATTAATTACGAGTGTAGAGAAGGGAAAGAACAAAGATCGCCACCAATCCCCATGGTAACAACATATATTTAAATAATAGATACCACTATACGACAACTTATTACTCACTGTTACTAGTCCCTGTGGACAAAAATACTATTAAATAATATATTATGTTGTATTATTAGGCTGCTCCATTACACAGCGGTACCATGGCACTTCACTCAAGCATAGATTTTTTTTTTAAATAGATTTTGAATTTTTTTTTAAAATAGTAACTGTTTCTTGCCAGATACACGAAAGCCATAGTAATCGCAAGTCGCGATTAAGCAGTCCTATATTTCATTCCAAAACGTGTATTAACGTAAGTCACGGTTAAACAGACCTACCATTGCAAGACGTTTATTACCTAAAGCCTTGGTTGAACAGACCTACCATTGATTTCTGCCAATTGCATGTCTTTCTTCAAAGTTTAAGACTGCAAGGTTATCTAAATTATTAATTAGACATTAACTTATCCAGACCATAATCAACGCTCGATGTTATCGCTAGCCTGCGATATTTACTGGATTATAATCCGATCTGCTGCTCAACGCTCATTCATGATTAAATTATGAAATGGATAATCGAGACTATGTTTTGTTATCGTACCAACTTTAGTAATGATGATCGTGGCTAGGTCCAAAATTTAATCACTAAATTATTGGTTCAGAGTGATCAATGTTCAACAAATTCACTTTACATTATCTAGTTTTTAACTATTACAGTGAGAACCACCAGCTCTTTATCTCCCATAATGTATCTTTAAGTCACGGTCAAACAGCCCTACGTTAAAGAATTGGATTGATTTTTACTCACTCAGCCATCGTGATTCCATTTAGAGAATAAGGAAAATGACATGCTCATATATACTTATCTTTGAGTTAACAAAAATAAGTTAAAGGCTATTCGAGAGTGACCCCAGCGACATCCTTACTCCTTAGCCACCATGGCTCCTTTATATAATAAAAACAATTACCTACCATTACTTACTTAATTTTAAAAACAAGTTAAAGACTAGTCGTGAAATATAAAACTTTAATGTAATTAGAATAAAATCACGTGTAATTAAAGTCAACATGATTCAGACATTTTTATTGATTTTTCCGCCATTTGTCGACTTCATTTGTATTTTACACGATATTGGTTTCCAATGTGGGCGACGAGTATTTGAAGCAAGAGGTGCCAGGGAGATATAATTCAAGAGACTATTTTTGGTGTATAATATTGCGAAAATAACTAACCTGTGTATTTTATCCATAATGTTTGTACGTCGTATGTTGGTTCGTAGCCACGCCGTAGCCTGCGCAACGGTGTGGGTTTTCTCTGGGACCCCTGGTTGCCCCCCCCCCCCACTACTGCTAAAGGCAGATACGCACAAGCCAAATGTTGTTATAAAATTGTAAACGTTAGTCCAGAAATGTCACAGATGCGTCGAATGTTCTCTAATCCAAATATATGAGCACATTAAAAGATACATCAGGGCAAAAAATACCACAAATATATGAGCACATTAAAAGATACACCAGAGCAAAAGATAAATACCACAAATATATGTACACATTAAAAGATACACCCGGGCAAAATACCACAAATAGATACACCCGGGAAAAAAATAAATAACACAAAAATATGTACACATTAAAAGATACACCAGGGCAAAAGATAAATACCACAAATATATGAACACATTAAAAGATACACCAGGGCAAAAGATAAATACCACAAAGGTTTTAGCTTACAATTTAAAAGAAAAACAAATCATTGGCCATTGAAAGTGTACATCCATAAAGCCAAAATATAAACAAGTGAAGAGCCCCGGGGAAGAACAATCTAAGTCACTTTTTCAACGAACCCTAGTTAATGGCGCCATCTGGTAGCAAATTGTATAAGCTTTCTGTGGAACAATCAATTTCAGGTAAAAACGATCGGAGTCACATCGAACCAAGCCCCTTCTGAAATGGCCACCCAGACAAATGCAAGACCCTTTATTTAACCTTAATTTGCCCGAAAAGTTGAAGTCAGTTGTACTGGTAATTATAGTTCGTATTAAATATCATTTTGAAGTTTTAATTAAACCCACCCGTTGTTCTGTTCGCATCAAACATTCTCGTCCAAAAGTCTGTTTTACCTTTTATGCGAAAAGACAAAAATGTGACTTAAATCGTTCTTCACCTGGACTCTTCAAGTGTATAACAAAGCTATTTTTGTAATCTAATCTAAATCCATTAACTTACAATTTAAAAAGAAAAATACTTCATTCAAAATGGACATTTTTAATTATAAAAATGCAACCATAAAAACAAAAGATAAATAGGTGTCCACAGGTATCCAAATTTATAATTTAATCTAAAGACCTTGGCTTACAATTTAAACGAAAAACACGTCGTTGAAAATGGATATATGTAAATACAAGTGCACAATAATAAAATCAAAATATGAATAAATGTCCACAAAAATAGATATTTGTAAATACAAATGTGCAATCATCAATCAAGAGCTATATATGGTTCGGCAAACATCATAATATGAATTCAATCGAATGCCATTATCTTACCAATTAATAGAAAACACGAAGTTCAAAATGAGTATTTGTAAAAGATAAGTAAGTGTCCACGAATATCATAAATGTGTAATTTAACTTTAGGTCATTAACTTACAATTTAAAGCAAAGACTACACGTTCAAAATGGATATTAATAAAAACAAAAAAGTGCAGAAAAAAACAGAATGTGAAAATAAATCCAAGTTTGTTAGACTGGTGAACCTATAACAAGATATAAGACTGTAACATGGCTTCAGACAAGATCACAACCTCAACTTGTTATCTGCAAATCATAATCGACATTTCCAAGGTTTTTTTTATGACCGCCAGTAACTGATGGGAACATTCCGGAAACGGTATTTTATCTTCACAGACAAACCACAAAGATGGCGTCACGCACAAAATTTGATTTAGATGAAAACAAGCCTTTATATGACACATAATTTCCTAAAGATAGGAATTTCTTGTGAAACAAATAATAGTCAATCTAATCTGTTTTATAGTCACAGAAGAGCAGTTTGTGTGGGCGAATTAGAATGTAGAATATTTCCATTTTATAGTGGATACATGGGAATATTGCTCATGTTCCGTACGCTTTGTTTGGTCTTTTAGGGGATTACCTATTAGAAATATTTTCCTTCTTAATTCGTGCAAATTGGGTTGGCTTACACTCTAAACACGCCCTCCCCTCCTCGTGGATATCTTCACTAGCATATGGATGTTCCTTGCCCCCCCCCCCAACCAACCCCCACCCCCTGCTCGTCTTTATCTTCACCAACATATGGATATTCCTTCTGCCCAAATCATAATGGGCAGTGGGTTAAAACGACTTTTGCACCCGGAATTGCCCCCAAAGCGCTAATCATCCTGTTCTTCTTCTTGGAAGCGACGCTCTTCGAAAAGGCTTAAGGCACCGCAAATTGGATATGATACCTCGCATGCAAAAATGTTCCTTGGACAAATGCGCATTGATTGACGAACTTCGACATCACAATTCCACTTGTTATATTGTCGCCGCCACCTGCCTATAAAGCTGTTTCACACACACACACGTATGTTACAATTCGGGGGCGGGGGTGAGATGGCCTAGTGGTCTAGCGTTTCGCGCTTCAAGTTGTACATGGCCTGCCACCTGGCTTACGCGATCCCTGGTGTGTACGTATGTGACGTGAAGATAGGGGTGCCTTCTCAACATCGTGGGTTTACTCCGGGTACTCCGGTTGCCTCCCATAGGAAAGACCCCTGCGCGTGCGCTAAGATAATGAAAATAAGACAACTTATCTCCAATATCACGCTCGGTGGAAGCGGACGTTAAACACCAATAGAAAAAGACGTACTTATCTAATTAATTACAATCAAGCTTATGCGAAATGGGCGTGGTCAAATACATATCAGTATCTATGAGAAGTGTCCAAATTATCCTCGATGGGCAACAAAATATAATATTTTGTTATTTATGTTTTCAGGTGAGCTCCATGTGCCATTAGAAGTTTGCGGTGCCGTGGTGAAAAGAGAACTGGATTTTTGGCAGATTAATCAGTATAAGATTAAAGCGTGTTGTTGGCGACACTACAGATCGTATATCGACAACCAGCGGATATTAGAATCGTTCAACAACAGTTTATTAAAGGAAAATGTTAATGTGAATTTAAATGGCTTGGAAGGGTGGTTAAAAATACGAACTAGAGTCTGGTTGATTCTGGAACATCCGAGAACATCTACTACTGCCATGGTGAGAATTTTGTTTCGTCCGAGTTATACATATATATTATACCATGCTGTCTCTTTAAGGTGATCGTCTTAATTATCCAGGTTGGTGCAGAACAGTAGGGTCTTTAGCATTGGAAGGAAACCGGGGGACCCGGAGAAAACCCACGAGGTTGGACAGGCGACCCCACTTCTTGTCACGTACAACCAGGGAATGGAAACCACGCTAAGTGACTCAAAACTCCACATACAATTTACCAGTTTTATAAAACAGGAGGGTATAAATGTAGAATGTCACCTTTAAACTATTTATAACAACTTATTTAGCCAGCCAGTGGGTATGATTTCAATCCTATACGTGTACGTGACAAGGAGTAGGATCGACTGCCTAACCTCGTGGGTTCTCTTCTTGTCCGTGCCCCCCCCCCCGCCACTTCTAAAGAGCTTTAAGCGCAAACGAATTATTAAAATAAATGTGTAATGCATGTTAGTCCCGAAATGACATAGTACGTGATGAGTGGACGTTTAACCCAATTTCGCTTTATCCCGCTCTTAGAACCATTTTTACAAACATATTTCGCCACCCTTACTCATGTAGGTTTTGAATTTATGACAATGGAAATTATTTTCCACTAATTGGCCTTTATTCTCCGATGTATTTTAATATAGTTACTACTCCGATTATCGAATAGTAATATCTTTAATCGGCCGCGAATAAAAACAATCAAATGTTCTATTAACATCTATTGCACGATAACAAGTTTTGTATTTCAACTTGTTAGAAATTAGAGTCTGGTTGATTGTGACAATTAAGTCAACTGTTTTATTCATCAGAGAATTCCTTGCCAACCAGTCACTTATTTCATTACGCTTGGCATTCTCGAGGGAGTCGACATTTATCGCTTGAATACGTTACACAGCTCCGAGCAAGATGGATTTCAAGCTAATTTTTATACTTGAACGTTTCCTTCGTGTTTACAATTCAATTTTCTGAGAAAGTATGTCGATTGCGAACGACGTGGGGTATTTGATTAGCGATTCCTTGGGTAGATCAGCCTAGTTAGAATAGCCAACAATTATCGTGTAAATGTTCACTCAATTTAAAGACATTGTTAGAGACCGTTTTGGGTCTAGTCTGCGGAGATCGAGTAGTTTTTCTGTCAGACTTCTAACAGCACACAATGCTCGATTTCATTTCAATTTGAAATTCTCCAGGCCCACCCTGTTGTACTTCTAGACTCTTCTTAGGTCACTTTTAGAATTTAAAACTTTACAAACACATTTAATTTCTCCAAAATGTTACAATGACCATAGAAATGAAATGCAGTGGGGTTTACCGTTCTACTTTTTGGCGCAGAATTAGCTAATGAAGTGTGCTATGCGGGAAATTTGACCGGACAGATACCCTACGGCCTACTCTTATATCGAATTCCATCTGTCAAGGGTTCTTTTACGTGCATGCCAATGTGCACACGCGACCTCGGTTTTCCGTTCAGACAGGTCCTCCGTCCTGCACCACTAAAAATATATATATAAAATCTAAGTAATAAAACTTAAATTTCGAAACATTAAATCAGCCAACATTGTCTGTGAAGCTAAAACAATCCAACATTTTTATTTTCTCATGTCCAAACTAATCAGGATAGACCACTCCTTAATTAACACGTATGTTTGTCTTGGTAGCATTTTGTCCGTTCCCCTACGCGCAAGCGAATTATTGAAATAAAATTTAAAAAAACATATGTTAGTCCCGAAATGACCTAGTTTGTGTCGAGTGGACGTTAACCCCCCCCCCCTCTCTCTCTTTCTCTCTCTCTCTCTCTTTTGTCCGTAGGTTACCCAGCAGCTTCGGTTTCTGAAATCATATCCACAAAGTCCCTCGCTTCAGCTATATATATGTGTAAAAATCTGTGTCTAACTCTTTCTAAAACACCTGATAGCATTGTCAGCTGATGAGTTCACATAAATAACATGTTTTTGTTGGGGATTTTCCACTCAAGAATAATGAAAAACTATTTTGGTTTTTTTTTTATTTCTTGCAGTTGAACACGTCATGTTATAATTAATAAAGAATAACTGATAAGAAAATGTTAACTGCAGATGAATCAGATTTAAATCTACATTTCTAAAGGCCACTTAAAAGACGTCAAATTGAAATGAAATGAAGTGAAATGGGGTTTTACGTCCAAATTCCCCGCAAATCGGGCATGCGTAATGCTGTGTGTCCACAGTCTGCTCTGACACAATCTGATTAAAATACAGATCTATATTTCGTTTCGTTTTTTATACTTTCGATGACCTACACTACATTTAGATCTGACCGGTTGTAGAGATAGGTCGCGCCAGAGGTCATACGAGCGGCTTTTGACCCAATGACGTCAGATATTGATTAATCAATCAGCGTTGACGTTTCTAGTGGTTTACCCACACAGTTCATTGCATGAAAAGGCCTAGAACACGCCGTAACAGACCGTTTCATTGGCTAATCCCTCATCTCATCCAGAACACGTCAAGGATAACAACTCTTCCAGATCCTAGTGTAGTAAAGACAAGTAAAACGAAATTTTGAACTATAAAAAACGAAACGAAATAGGATCTGTGTTTTAATCTTATTGGCTCTGAGAGCGGCGTTTCTGCATACTCGTCGTCTTATTCCATATGGCGATGTTTTTTTTACGCGCCCGCCAATCAGTACACGGTGAACTTAGTGCATTTCTTTCCTTCCGAACACAGTCTTCATTATCCCAGTCGGAGCAGAACAGTAGGACGTTAAACACTATTTCATTTCATTTCCTTCCGAACAACAAGACGCTGTTCCTTGCCATATCCTCGGTCCTGCACCACTGACGAATGGAAACCAGACTTGAAAATCTCAAAACAAACTTGGTCATATTAGGGATATATTTTATTTTTTATTTCAATAATGCGCTTAAACTTTAGAGCCTTTAGCACTGGGAGGAAACCAGAGGACCCATATAGATTCCACGAGATTAGTCATGGACACGGTTGGAATTGAAACCACATCACTCACTCAACTAAAGCGCACGGGTTGGACCACTCAGTCCCACCCCACCCCTGCCTCTTTCGCAGGTGATCTACATAATATGTTTGTGTTTCTATTTATATGGAATCGAAACCACGTCAATCACTTAAAGGACAATATTGGTGTCAGCCATTATTTCATATGTGATAGAACTGGTTAAACACGTTCCAAATATAATTTTAACACAGAGATCATTGCTACGATATATGTGTAACGAAGATTTGATAAAAAGAATTGACTGTCGCCAGATTAGAGAAAACGAAAAAAAGAAAAAATAGATAGCTCGTGCATTACAAAAAAAAAATTAATAAAACCAAGGGAATGTACGGGCCTTTTCTTTTTTCTTGTTTTCTCTTATCTAGAGACATTCAATTATTTTTTTTAATTGTCAGATATCCTCTCACAGTCTCCTTTATCAACTTTTGGTCTTCAAGTGAATTATCAGTGAGCAGAAATCCGGCCGGGTATCTGCTATCGCTCGTTACTTTAGTTAGTTATATAGAAGGATAACTCTTGATTTCCATTTTTTGCTTCACTTCCGTTTCTTGAAATCGTCGTTACACATCTATCATAGCAACGATATCTGTGTTAAAATTATATTTGGAATGTGTTTAACCAGTTCTATCACATATGTGATAATGACTGACAACCACCCCAAGCCCCATCGCAGGAAATCTACAACTATGTATTTTTTATTTATAGGTTTATGGTATTACGTCATTTCTTTTCGTCATGTTGTCAATAGCTGGATTCTGCCTAGAAACACTTCCGGATCTTCGACCAGTTAAAAACGTCACCAAGTCATGTGATGGTGATGAAACAGGAGAACCAATCCCGAACGTGATCAGCTCTGACGAAGCTCTGAACGTTGTGGATATAATTTGTACCATTTTCTTCACTCTGGAGCTTATATTCCGTTTCATATTTTCTCCAAATAAAATTAAATTTGTGCGCTCAGCGATGAACATTATTGACCTTTTGGCGCTGGTTCCGTTGTATGTGCAAGTCTTCTTCATGCAGTCAGATCTCCAGGCGTGTTATTTGAATGAACGTTTTGTGATAGAGGTTATGTTTATTTTGCGTATTATTCGAATGTTTCGTATCTTCCACTTAGTCAAACATTATCAGGCATTAAAGGTTTTGGTGTATGCGATAAAAGCTAGCATTCAGGAACTCTTAATGCTTTTCATATTTCTAATGATCGGCATGCTCGTGTTCGCTACTATGATTTACTATGCAGAAAGAACAGACGCTTTAACCCCTAGTGATAAATTCAATACAATTCCGATGGGATTCTGGTGGGCTATAATTACCATGACAACGGTCGGATATGGTGACGTGTTTCCAACGCGGCCAATCGGATATGTCGTAGGAACTGCGTGTGCTGTGAGTGGTGTTCTACTCGTAGCTTTGACTATTCCCGTTATTTCGAATAATTTCTCGCTTTTTTATACGCACGTGCGCTCACGTGCTGGTGTTCCTCCGGAGGCGAACATACCGGAAACAAGCTTGGAACATATAGGGATGGAAGACCGACGACTGTCCAACGCATCCACGATTACGGAACCATTTATGAATGGAAAAACTCAGTATCATGAAAATGGGACGCACCACCAAGTGTATGTGCCAATTGCAAAGTTTTCGGAATCAAATTCAATGACAGATATTATTTTACAACGCGATACGTCAGAATATCAGTTCAAACGATCTACATCAGCTAAAGCGCACTCTGACGACGGTGTCCAATACCAAGGGGAGTCAATCATATGATTGGCAATAAGCGGCTGTATATATATTAATCTGGATATATTTGTGTATTTATTTATTTCTAATCAACTGACTGGTCACCTTCTATCAAATAGAAGTCCAATTTATTAGGACTAAATCAATTAAAGCACACTCTCGCGACGGTGTTCAAGGGAGATAATTGTGTGACTGGATATAAATGACTGTATATTAATCCAAATTGTTCGATATCTCCGTTTCCCTTTCAATTGTTGGACTATGTTCTATCAAATAGAATCATCACGTGATCAATAATTCTGTTCAATATGGCGTCAGTTGATACTTTTGGAAAGGTTCGACTATTACACAATAAAATCGGTTAATTTTCTTATATTCCGGTTACCAGTCTAAATTGAATAGATAGAGGTCAATTCGGGGCCAGTCATTCAATAATTCGTATGCGCGTAGATGTATTTAGCTGTGGGGAGAGACCGCAGAACTCAGAGAAAACCCAGGAAATTGGACAGACCTACCTTCTCCTTGTCACAGACAGAACATTCCGTGTACATAAAACCTAGTTTATTCACTGATTTATATTAGAAAAATGTGATTTTTTTCATGATAATATTTTCCCTATGGTGAAAAGTAAAGAGCAAACGATGTGATAAATGTTTGGTATAACTGCCTATAAATGGATATTACGAAGTGGGTAACATAAGATGTTTCAGAAAGTGGAGGCAGCATACACTGCCCGTTAATTGTTTTGCAATGTTTGATGTTTGCTGATCTTTGGGGTTCATGTTGTCTATGGGACAGAAAATGACACTGATATTTGACCTTGCTCTATGGACGACGGATGGATGGAATTAGATTTTAGGTTCCTTTTTTATAAGAATATTGCACATCACGGACATCAGTGTTACGTCACTACTGACAAAAGTGGTTTATGGTCAATTACATAGGCGTATTTGAGATTTTTCCAATCGAACGATTTTCCTCACAAAAATATTTAAATAACCATAGACTATATTCCATGCGAACGATTGACCTTAAATTGTCTGCCATATCGCTTGTAGGTCGCGCGGATGTAAAATCTCCGATTGAACAACAATCAACAACGACTTTAATTATTTCCATCATATAAGTGGCGTGGAATTTTAATGTCAAGAAATGTCACAAATATGGACTCGTGTCTAAGCTTGTATAATGTACTAGACCCTGTACGTTTATTTAATACCGACCTATTGGACTCTCTAACATAATGAACATTTCGTTTGGAACCCCCGTAAGAACTTAATATTTGTAAGTGTGATAACGTAATAGCCTAATATAGTCCCTCGGAAAACAAAGTTTCTTTTGTAAAAATAAAATCGCTAGTAAAATTCCAACGAGAACCCAATTTTAGAAGTGATGACGTATTAACTTTAGCCTAAAAAAAGACTCATCGGAAACATGGAGTATTTTCAAGAAACATAATTCATCTCACACCCAGGAAACTGCAAAACAAGCACACCCTGTCTTCGTAATAAAGAAAGTATTGGGGCAAATAATCAGAATTGATACACATTGAAATAACAATCAGAAGAAGAACATTTCATTGGATATTTTTTATACTTATTCCGAGAAACTCTTCTGAAACCATGAATATGAACCAAATACACAGATTTGACATGTTTCTTGTGCGCACTAAACAATGAATTATGGATTACATTCCGGATGTTAAAATGGAACGAATATATGTACGTGTGGATGTTGATATATAAGTCAGCAACAGAATTCAACAATACTTTTAAAAAGTTTACTAAAATATTAAAGTTCGGAAGTGACAAAGAGATTGGTTGAGAAAAATTCAACATTGTGTTATTTTTTATTTTTTGTATTTTTTGTCGCTGGCTGTCATGAAGATATTCAAAGATTAAGTGCGTTAAACGGTTTCTGTGGATTTAGGAAAGTGATTGTTGTTGGGGTTATTGGCGTTAATCAAGAAAGGATAAAAAAGACAGTATAGATACAGAGGAACTGATGTCATCCATGGAAATGGTGCCATCGCCGAAATGATGTCACCCGGAGATTCATGACATCGGGGCAATGATCTCATTAGGGAAGTGAACAGCGTTTTTATTTGAGTGTACTTCATGACTGGTTAATCGTAAAATAAACTCTCGAGCGCGGTTTATAAAAAGATATCGTTTAATATCAAATAATAGGGCCATTAACGTTTGATGAAGCTCTGGCGACCAGACAGTGATACGGTGGAATTCATATTTAATCACAAAATGGTTGATTGTTCATATCTAAGATGGCTCCCGTGTGTACAAAATGGCTGATTGCAATCAAAAATGAAACATTCACTGGATATTACAATTCAATCAACAGACGCCATTTTAGAAAAAAAATCAGACACATAATTTCAGACATTTTTATTTTCTGTGTTGGTTTATTATGAAAGTGTTTACATGTACATCTCGCATCACATCTTTTAATTTCGCGTTTAATTACCGCATCTTTATGAAATAAACCGTTTAACTAGGATACAAAATTCGTCTGGATTCCCGAAAAGATTTTCACTTTATTGGAATATTTTTAGATTCTCGTTTATTCGTTTGTGGTATTTATTCACGGACTTTCTTCCTGCAAACGATATTATTTTATTCCCGCCAGTGTGAAAATATCTGGCATCACGAAGACACTACAGCTCGCAGTCGCAGAAAGTGCAGCACTCGTGAAATCAATATGTTGAGTTCGATCGATCGATTACGACATCGCCGCTTCAAAAATTGCCCTATAAACCATGTGTTATTTAGCTTTTTATTGGTGATCAAGAAGACTGGGATTTTCTTCCCTTGTAACGGCATGAATCAACCATGAAAGGTGACACAGTGACATTGTTCGTAATATTTTATCTCCAACTTATTTCAGCATCCATTTTTTATGCTTGGTAACTCTTTTTACCACATCTTGAGACCAATGTACTGATAACCACGCTTGGAGGGGACCACAGGTTTTTTTTATATAAATGAATCACCTCCAATTTGCAGCTTACTTTAAAAGATTGAAACAGGGTTTTTTTTTCATTATTTCACTTATTCTTAAATTTTCGAATGGACATGACTGTTTCCGAGAGTCATTATTGCGCTTATTCTTAAAGTTCCGAATGCAAACGACTGTTTCCGGAAAGTCTTAATAATAGACACTATACGAGTTATGTCTAAATGTGAGATTAGCAAATAACTTGCAAACTATAATAGTGTAAAAGTTGGATCTCGATAACGGAATATCAGTCCAAAAATGGCCCTATCATTTTTCTTTTAATTAAATCTTAAATAATCAATTTCAGTGCATTTTAGCATGGACTAAGCCGTGAATAAATGTGATATTTTCCTGCAAAATGCAAATGACGCACTATGACTTTAAATAACCAACAATGACCTTTACTAAAGTTGAGCGAATGCAATTTCATTCGGCAATAAATGAAAATGTATTATAGGCTTGCATCGAAAAGTTTCTTCACGTTTGTTATGAAATGGCTATGGATGTGAATGCAGTGTAATCTCTAGTAGTACTAGTACGAAATCGGTAAGAAATGCGGTGTTTGTGATGATTCGTCTAAAATTATTAATGAAAGCTCACGATGTACTCCGAATGGGATTTATTATGTTGTAGTGTGTATGGTAATGGATGACATCGAATGAATTAAATTTCAAGACAAATGATTAATGGATCCATTGTGATTTTACTCGACCATAATAATAACTCAAATTTTGTGATGTGATTTTTGTACATTGATCTCGTGGTTAATATATCTATCACGTGATGGACCAATAAGGAATACCATTCCTGTAATCGACATACCATCTGAGAAACAGAAAATCTCTATGACTCTCAGATTCCAGCTTCAGATTCCTTATTTGTTTTTACTTCATTTGATATTCCAACTTCAATAATAGTATGTGTTTTGACGCTCATAATACAATTATTATTATTATTATTATTATTATTATTATTATATGCATTTCAGTCTTTCTTGTGAAAGGATATTCGACAATATAACAATTTTAAACTTGAGCGTCGTCACCCTTTTAAATGCTATGCAAAAATGGATGTGAATTTTAAATAATGTATGTTTAATATGTAGTCACTGTTAAAACTGTTATAACTGCTGCACATATTCCAAGCTCACTATTTAATATCTTTGTTGTTATCCCAGTGGTCATTTACTACGTTAACTGCCCTTGGTAAGGATTTGGCTATATTGATAACAATTCCTGTATAATTATATTGAAATTACTGTCGTTTCCAACGGCTGGGTATTTAACGATACATTCGTAGCAAATGTGGCGTTGCAAGCTAGTCGTTTGCATGACCACCGACAGCACGTATCAAATGAATTCGGGGGTCCAGATGTTAACGAAGGTTCGTCTAGGCCCGTCTCCAACGACTTGATATTGGGCGATCAATTCGTACCAAACGTGGCCCACGTTTAAAGCTAATCATTTGAATGGCCGCTGATAACACGTACCACCAGCAGCCAATACTACAGGGCTCGAAAAAATCTTCTAGGCCCGTCTCCAACGACTTGATATTGAGCGATCGATTCGTAGCAAAGATGTCGTTGAAAACTGGTCTGATTGACTAGACTATGCTTCAGGGGAATAAAGAATGCGTAATGACTACAGACACCCCACCTACAACCCCGCCTCCTCCCCTAGGGTGCAATAAAGTATGTCGTCAGATTGACAGTGCGGTAATATAATATAATTCCAATCATACCAAAGGCAGTTAACAGAATTGTCCTACCGTAAGATGAATAATATAATGTGTTAATGTTTTGTGGTCACGCTAGCCCGTTAGTCTGGCCATCTGTTATACATGTAACATCAGCTTAAGGTAGCTAAACCTCTAACTCCATATTTTCCATAATATTTGAACTTAAAACCACGAATTAGAATTCAATAGTTGGTTCATTTCAATAAATATTGATGTTGTTATCTTGTCGTGAAATTATGGGATCCTAATATCCGATATTTAGACACAATGAACATTTT